CCCCCCGCCTCCTTCCCCCACTCCCTCGCCTCCGGCTCTGGGGCTGGCGGGTCTCGGTAACTGGATTCGTGACCCGCAGAGGACGGTGCCGACCCTGCTGCGGGGATCCGGCGCGGCCGGAGCTCGGTTATTTTTATGCCCGTCCTGTGGCCTGAACTCCGGGCTTGCTCGCGGCCCTGGAGGCTTGGTGCTGTTTCCTCCGGGCTCGCGCTCTAGCACCTGGAGCCACGGCCTCCTTTCCGGGCTCGGGGTGCTCGTTAACGGGGTGGTACGAGCCTCACGGACTTGTCTGCCCCGGTGGACCTCGAACCGCGATTCCCAGCTCTCGGCCTCGGGAGTCGGTTAGGATGACCGGCGCGAGCCACCAGCGTCCCGCAGTCCGTGCTAGAGTAGTTTAAAGAACTGCCACCCCGGCCAAGTCCACTTCCATCTCTCTAGCAAGTCGGTTCCTCCGGCCCGCAGGTGACCACTCGGCTCCTACAGCCCCACTAGTGCAGTACTAAAAGCGGCGGGTGTGTACTTACCATAGGAACCAAACCTGTATGTGCAGTGCGGAGAGTTTTACAAATCCCAGCCTCAAGAACTGAAGGTGGTGAGGATAAGAGTTGTGTGTGGAAGAAATATATCATGTACTAAGACATTTATCGTTGTCTGGCCCCAGTGCCGGTGGCTCTGGCCTGTCATCCTAGTTACTCAGGACCTGGCTGAGATCTGAGGATCTCTGTTCAAAGCCAGCCCGGACAGGAAAGTCCGTGAGACTCCTATCTCCAATAAACCACCAGAAAACCGGAAGTGGCGCTGTGGCTCAAGTGGTAGAGGGACAGCGCCCAGGCCCAGAGTTCAAGCCCCACGACCAACAAAAAAATTCTCTGAGTGTTTTATTAGATCATTCAAGATAGCAGATCCATAGGCTCATTCTTTAGGCCCAGAATTGGCTGATGATTTACTGATTTCCCAAATTAGCAAGGCTTATTTCTTTTCTCCCTATTTCCGTGGCATCTTGAGCAATCTTGCCCATTTGTGGTCTCTCTTCTCCCTTCTACCATCCTAACTCAGGTGCACTTTTGCAGTATTTCCTAGTCAGTCTGTTCTCCCTTCTCCAAACCATGTTACACGCTAACGGATTCACCCTACAGAGGTAAAGGTAGTAAAAGGTAGCACTCACTAGTGCTCTACCACTTGAGCCACACCCTTTTGCTTTTAGTTCTTTTCTCAGAATCTCAAGCTTTTATTTTTTTTCTCCTGGGATGGCTACAGTTTCTCTCATTTCTCTTTCTTGAGAATTTGCATTGCAAGCATAGACCACATCGCTGGTGACTAAATTGGCCTTTTAAAAGCAGAATACTGTGTGAACTCACTCTGACTTTCATTGTATGTTTTTTGCATTAGAAATCCAGGCCTCTACTGTACTGTACCTTTTAACTCTTATTTTCCCGTACACTTCACCTTAGCTAATTACTAAAATTGAACTTCCTTTGTCATCGTTTTAACTTGCCTTTGTTATTATTTGTTTTTCTTCCTAAACCATTTCCCCCATTTCTGCATATCTGGAACTTTTCCAAATCTCCCCCTCCTTTACCAAAACATGCACATACACTTATATAAAGACATACTATCTTCTTATAAGTGATAATAATTACTGTTTTTGAACTGGCTTAGGACTTTATCTGAGTCTCTATTTAATTTCTTCTTTTCTTGCACTTAATTTTTTCTCTTATTTCAGGATTTGGGGTGACTTTTAAAAAGAAAACAACATGGAAAATTTACATGAATTAAATAGATCATTAGTTTCCAAATCATTCCATTAAATTCTGTAAACTTAGTAAGGCCACACTGTTGCCCCTGAGACAGTAACTAGCACAAGGTTACATTCATAAATCACTGAAGTCTTACAGTGGAAACCAAAGTTACTCAATGCTTATACAGCTGCAAAGGCCAGACAGCAATCTCCTGTCCACCATTATAATAGTTACTTTGTAGAAGTATAGTCATTTCTGTGCATGTGATTTCCTACATTGTCTTTCCAGTGTATTCAGGGTAGGATCTGTGTATATCTAACAGAACTGTGCAAATAAACATTTGTCAAGTTTAAGTCACTGTTAAATGTTTGCCTTCTTGAAACACAGACTTTTTGTCCTAGCTTCACTTTAGACTATATATAAAGTCTAATGCATGACTATATTTCAAAAAATCATGCATTGAGTACTTTACTTTTTCAGTCATATGTCAACTTATTTGGGTTCAGTTTTTTATCTCAAAATTTATCGAGTTGTTTTTGATAAAGCTAATTCACATTATTAATGTAACCAAGCTTAAATATCATATTGTCTTGTGCTAATATTTATAAATATTTAAATTATCATTTTAGGGTGTAAACGGCTTTGAGGTTCAGAAACAAAACTGTTGCTGGCTACTGGTTTCACACAAACCTTGTGTAAAAGATGATGTGGTAAGTTTTTATATATTTATAAATAAACAAGTTCACAAATATTTTAAAAGTGTTGATGGATCGATGGATTGATTGATTGATTATGACTGGGTCTTTGCTGTGTAGAAAAGGCTAACCTTAAACTCAAAATCTCCTGCCTCTGCCTCCTGAGTCCTGAGGCTGGGCACTACCATGCCTGTCCACTCTTACTTTTATATGAAAAAAATAGAACATTCAAGGTGAGATGTACATATTATTTTAATGGCTGAATATTATAAATCTATAAAGCATTTACTGTATCTCAACAGACACAACTTTATGCATATCAGAAAGTTTATAAAGCTGTTGGATCCAAATTTTCAATTTCAGTCCTGCCACTTAATGACTCTATAACTTGGAACAAATTATAGAAGGAGAAAGGATAACATCTGTGCATTACCACCTTCAGTATTGGAAATAAGTTATACATGACCTATGCGGATTCCTACTAGAAATTTTTCACATATTCTGTGCTCAGTTTCCCCAATTGAAGTGTTTAATGAGTTCATATAAGTTAGCAAATGCTTTATTCCCAATGATTATTAGAAATCCAATTTCATGTCAGACAAAAAAGGTAATTAAAATAATAAAAATCAAAGAGATGGATCTGGAGTCAGGCATTATTGCTTCAGGTACTCAAATCTTGTCTTCCAAGCACTTCCTCAGTATCCATCTTTGGGAACTGGCTTCTCTGCATGTTGGCCCTTTTCTTCTGCTGCAGAAAATCTTTGTGGCAAAAGCAACAGCTGCCAGAAGTCCCAGCATAAGACTTCCTTATATTCGTGTATCCATCCCAGGGAAGGACTCTTTGGTTTTCCTGTATGACGTGTTCTCCATTGTAGATCAATTATGAAGCTATGATGTGATATGACATGATGTCCTTAAGCATAGGCATCTGAGGCTTCTGACATATATGGATAGTGATGAGTGATAAGGTCATAATTGATAGTCCCAGCAGAATCAAATAGGAAAGAGGGAGAGTATTGCCCAAAAATGCTCGGCAGGCAGAAATAACTCGTACAAATTCTAGCTTTGACATATTAATGTGTTTCACTAGGCTGTGCTTGCACAATAAACTATAACAGGGCATCCAAGGTCAAAAGGCAATTAAGTACCCCTCAAGGAAGAAGCCAGTGAATAACTCAGGATTTCTTAGACAGCAAATACACAGGCTCGAGTGGTATAATGTTTACTTAAAGCTAGAAAGAAATGATATGAAATCCAGCACTTTGTGATGTGTCAGGCCTCTAGCCTAGCAGATCTGATGGGCTGTGACTGCATGCATCTAGCTTTGTGCTGCAGCAAAAGTATACTGAACTTGCTCTACTGGGTCTGCACATGTAGGTAAATCATTCTAAGAAAATATTTTTGTGCCCTGTACAGAGGAAACAGAACTGTACTGGCTGTGACCTGAGTTCTTTGTATGCATTATGATAGCTTAGCTTACTAGTAGATCCTGTATCCAACTCTTAAGTCCTTCTAGGAAGAAAGGAAGGGTGCCAGGCCTTACTTGAAAACTTCTCTCAATACCTGTCTCTGCCTCAATCCACAAAGATTTAAAGTCTTCCCATTGTGGTTTTTGTGTGCCACACTCCTGGAATTAAATAAGATGCTGGTTTACTTTTTCAGGGTGTAGCAATGGTGGGAAAAATGATACAGATGGTTTATGGGAGAGTTAGAATCAAATCGTTTACGAAAATAAGCTAATTAATAAGTTTTTAATGAAAGAGGGCCAAGAAAGCAAAAGGAATGTTATCAAAGAAATAAGATGAATTGGGCCTGAAAGCTTCTAGGAAAAACTAAAGCTAGCTATAAAGGTGAAAGGTGACCAAAGGACAGGACGGTATAGTTGCATCTAATATTATCACATTTCATTTATTTAGATGGTAGCTCTGAAGAAAGCGAATGGTGATGCCATCTTAAAATTTGAACCATTAGTCCTTCATGTGCAGTGTCGGCAGTTGGAGGATGCACAGATTCTGGTAAATATTTGTAATTGCACTTGAATTATTTTAAGCATTAAGTTACCTATAAAAATAATCAGTGGCTAGATTGTTTTGCAGTTTTGTTTTATTTAATTATCTGTCCATGCATCTGATTAATCTATTTTTACTGTTAGAAAGAAAAATAATCTAGCAAAATATAGCATCAAGATTATGGCTCCTGTTTTTGTCCCTTACTCATAACTTTCTCATCGTTTGAATTAGTATTAAGCATCTGCTTGGTTGTGATTTTCTTTTTTCTTTTTTTTTTTCTTTTGGGTCCGGTCGTGGGGCCTGAAGTCTGGGCCTGGGCGCTGTCCCTCAGCTCTTCAGCTCAAGGCTAGTGCACTACCACTTGAGCCACAGTGCCACTTCCAGCTTTTTTCTTTTTGCCTATGTGATGCTGAGGAATCGAACCCAGGGCCTCAGGCATGCAAGGCAAGCACTCTACCACTGAGCCACCTTCCTAGCCCTGGTTGTGATTTTCTAGTTTATCCTCCTGTTCATTTTTATACCTTTTGTGACTTACACATAAAATTGTATTGCCTTATAAACATTCATTTAGTAACAAAGTACTGAGTCCCCATTTAACAGGCATTAGGGGTTCTCACCAATGATGAGTAAGATTGGAGAGGTTCTTGGTCCATCTTTTAAGGTATGATAGCAAAATTAAACACTGCACAGGAAAATAAAGAAAATGAGAACTGTAAGAACAAAGGGTCCTTGAGGGGCAGGGAGCAACAAGCTGATGATAGAGAATAGCATAAAAGGAAATCTTCATACAGGCCTGTTAAAGAGGTTTCTTTAAAACTGAAAAGTGGCAGAAAGACTAATAGTGCAAGCGAAGGAAAATCATAGTACTGAGTGTCAGCAGGAAAGAGCTTGAACCTAAGGGGACAACCACCTGAAAGAAGATGAGAGATGAGACCAGGTTGTTTAGGGCCTCATAGACCAGGAAGAAGAAATGGGGCTGCTTTCTGAGTGCAAGTAAAAATTACAAGGCTGAGGGTGAGCAGCTTGATAAGAATTGAGTCCTAAAACCCTCAGTTTTGGTGCACTATAGGAAGACAGTGGGAAATAGTGATGACTTGGCCTAACATGACAGTACTCTAAAGGGTGAAAAGGGAGCAGATTCAAGATGTATTTTAATGTTTCAGTTGCCAGATTTGGCAGATTGCATGGGGAAGATCAGCTTGAGAGAGGAGGAGAAAAAAAACATGTCAAAGATAACTCCTTAGGTATAGCTTGAGTACCTGGGTGTCTGTATTTCTTATCCACTTACATGGGTGTGCTGGAGTTTGAATAGTTGGGAATCAAAAGTTCTAGTCATCTATTAGATATGAAATGTGATTGACAGCTGTCTCAGTTGCCTGTCTGCTAGGGCTACCATAAGAAAATGTCATAGGATGGGAAGGGGAAACAAAGGAGGAGGCTACAATGCTTGATAAGAAATGTACTCATTATCTTGCCCATGTAATTGTAACCCCTCTGTACAGTATTTTCACAATTAAAAAGAAGATAGAAAATCGCATAGGTTGGATGAGTTAAAACAAAAGGAATTCATTGTCTGACAGTTCTGGATGCTGGGAGTCCAACATCAAGGTTGGTTTCTCCTCAGGCCTCTCTCGTTGGGTGGCAGGGTGGCAGGCAGCACCTATCCTGTATCCTTTCATGGCCTTTCCTCAGAATGAATGCCAGTAGCATCTCTTCTTATAAAGGATACCAGACCTACTGATTTAAACCCTACCAGAAATCCTCATTTAACCTGATTTAGTACCTTAAAAGTCCCTATGTCGAAATTCAGTCACCTCAGGGTTAGGGCTTCAATGTAGAAATTCTGAAGCCCTGTGGATCCAGTTCAGTCATAACAACAGCTAGAAAATTTCAAACTGATGTTTAGGTAGAAATCTGGAACTCAGAGGAGTGGACTGAAAATACACTTTGGGAAGATGCCAGTACATAGTATTTAAAGTACCGGGCCTAGATAAATCATCTCTAGAGGAAAGGCAAAAGAGAAAGAATGGGGCTGAGGAACAGGAGCACTAAGAGCTATCTGTAGTGGCATCAGTTCTTACTTTCTCCCTGGACTTTAATCTGTCCTTACGTTATGCCCTCATTATACCAGAACATATTACTTAACCTATAACCCAAACTTTTAACTCTCCTTTTCCCATACCAGGTCCCATTCTGAATGCTAGGCCTGAAAAGGCTCATCCATGATATTCTAGGCCAGAAGCCTCAGTGAGAGGAACTAATTGCAATAGAATTGGAGAAACTGAGGGCTGGGAAGGTGGCTCAGTGGTAGAGCGCTTGCCTTGCATGCATGAGGCCCTGGGTTCAATTCTTCAACATCACATAAGCAAAAAGAAAAAAAGCCGGAAGTGGTGCTGTGGCTCAAGTGGTAGAGCGCTAGCCTTGAGCTGAAGAGCTGAGGGACAGTGCCCAGGTCCAGAGTTCAGGCCCTAGACCAAACACCCCCATCCCCCCAAAAAAATGAAAAGAATTGGAGAAACTGAGAAAGTCTCTCATTCACAACTCTGTGAGCACATGCATGGAAATCTGCTGGGTATTAAGGAAAAGTTGAAAGAAGAAGGAAATTTATTTCTTCCTTAATGAGCTCTTATTTGTGCTTTAGAGGAGGGATTGTCTTATTGTAATAAGTATGATGTTTCAAGGAGCTGTGTTCGAGAGTAGTGGAAGATATATACTTTGAAGAAAGTAGCTGGGGAATTTTTTTTAGGAAGTAACTATTTTAGGAATAAGAAATAATAACAAATACAATAAAATAATAACTACTGAGAATAGTACAGGTAGAGGGATCAACAAAAATGGAGAAATTGACTGAAGAAAGGATTGGAGTATTCACAGATCTGAAGGGAGGCCAGTTGAGGTTAGATTAGAAATGAAGGCAGCAGTCAAGTCAGGTCAAATAGAAATCACAGAGCCTGGTTTAGAATATAGGTTCTGTCACTGCTTGATCTGTAAGGATGGATTGTAGGAAACAACAATGATAGACTAATCTAGAGATTCAAAGTGTAGAGGAAGGTGATAGACACCAGAGAGGGCATGAGGAGTACTTTGAAGGTTGAGTCAATAGGAACTGGGTATAGGAGATGAGGTAGAAAATTCCAAGGCTAATTGGGTTTGAAGTCAGAACTGAATGAGATGAGAAAGGAGTTTATGAAGGTTACAGTCAAGTTCAGGCTAGTAATCTGAACTGGAAGTGGTGATTATCAGCACATTTATGTTCTTTAAATCAAGAAACTGGATAGAAATTCAAAAGGAGAACATGTACTTAGGGAAAGGTTCTCAAGTTTCATTCTATTGATATATAGAGCCAAGTAATTCTTTAGGTCAAAATGTCCTATGCACTACCCATTATATACCAGCCTCCTCTCCTTTAAGCACTCCCAGCTCTGCAGCTGGCAAACCAATGTCTCTAGGCATTTTAGAATTGTCCCCTAAGGGAAAAATAGTTCTAGAGTAAGAACTGAACTAGAATCCAGGTGCCTGTGACTCATGCCTTTAATCCTTGCTACTCAGGAGGCTAAGATCTCGGAATTATAGTTAGAAGTCAGCCTGGATGGGAAAGTCCAGACTTATTTCTAATTAACCACTGAAAAGCCAGAAATGGAGCTGTAGCTCAAATGGTAGAGTTCTGGTCTTGAACAACAACAAAAACCCCACTGAACTAGAGAAAAATAAGGCTCCAGGGCCCCCATTTAAAGACTTTTTAGACATTTAGAAAATAACAAGGCAAAATAACTTAACATGGTCTTATAAGTTCAGAGTTTGGGGGCTTTATATGCTTTTTTTAAAAAATAATATTTCAACAAAGCCTTTTTTAGAAAAAAAAATGCTGCCTGGGTGTATTGCCCGTATCTGTAATCCTAGCTACATAAGAGGCTGAGATAGTGGTGGGATACACTTGTGGTTTCAGCTGCTCAAGAGACAGAGGATTATTGCAATTTCAAAAAGGCTTATGAATCACCCAGCACTGGTGGCTCACACCTGTAATTGTAGCCATTCAGGAGGATGATCTCTGTGATTCAAAGCCAGCCCAGGCAGAAAAGTCTCTGTGAAACTCTTATCTCCAATTAACCACTCAACAACCAGAAGTACAGCTGAGGTTCAAAGTGGTGAGCACTAGCCTTGAGCAAAAGAGCTCAGATACAGTGCCCAGGCCCTGAGTTCAAGCTCATGACTCTATCTGGAAACCAGACCGAGGGCAGAACTCAAGTGGTAGAGCACTTGCCTAGCAAACACAAAGCTCAGAGTTAAATCTTTAGTATTGAGGAGGGCAGGGAAAGATTCTTGGTTAACTCTTAGAGAAAATTTCATTCATTTAGATGTTTTAGTTAATTTTGTTTGCTTTTATATAACATGGTTATAGGAATTAGTTCTTTTTGCTATCTTCTGCTGTATGTAAACTATCACTAGCCAAACCTCTGTCTTATTCTAGTTGTGTTCTTTCTTGTACTTCAGAAACCAATATTCTGATATGTCCAGTCGGAATTTTGGTAGAATTTAAGGCATAGTCCATATAGCTAGCTAAAAATCCTTAATAGGTTTTTGGAGTTATATTATGTTTCTATGACTAATGCACTAAACTGATTAGAGTACCAGAATATAAAATGTTTTATTTTCTTACAGCATTCAGTGGCAATTGACTCTGGTTTCAGGAACTCTGGCATCACAGTGGGAAAAAGAGGAAAGACTATGTTGGTAAGATACCTTTTGGCAAAAGTGATTCTTTGCGTGTAAATTGGTCCTGACAATTGAATAATCTTCTAGCTAGGCTCTTGTCCTTATTCTATCCTTACTCAATTTTTCTTGTCATTTCCTTACTCTAAAGTTAACAATAACATAGTCTCTTTCCCAGAAGGCAAAGGCCAAAGTTTTTACATTTATGGTCTTAATTTATAATATGCTTACATGATTCTCTATTCTCCTTTTTGTAAATTGTCAAGACCAAATTTAATAAGCATCATGATGTTGTAGCAAGGGCCACGTAGGCATGTGAAGTGTTCCCTAGTGATACTGCTGGACCGCAGTTATACCCCAGGAACTTTTGCAAGGTCTTTAACCTCCCAGGTCTGAATTTCTCAGTCCTCTCAGAGGTCCAGCAAACTACTATCCTAGAGCCAAGTATAGCCGCAGGAGCCAGAACCCACTCTCCCTACTGATTAGCCATTAGATATGCTTGCTTTGGTGTCATAGTAGCAAAACTGAACAGTTGAACAGATACTTTATGGCTCACAAAGTCAAAAATATTTACTGTTATTTCACAGAAAAATATGTCAGCTAGATGATCTATAATACCCCCCAATCCCACATTCTTTTTGTCCTTTCCTGACTGAGCCAACCCCTACTTATTTTACCCAGTCTGATCGCCTGTGGTATTTACTGTTTAGCCTGGTATATATTATTTGCTTTTGAGCTGGATCAGATTACCCACTATTCTAGCTCTCTAGACATTTTCTGTCTATTTTTAACAAATAACCTATTTTCCAAATAGAGAAGCCTTACAAAAAAAAGAGATCTATAAAGCATGACTAAATAGAAAATCAAAACCCTCAGTTCTGGTCTGTGTCCCCACCACACTGCATCTGTGGCTGTTGCAGCGGCAGAGCCTCACCTTTTTCTCCTTTGTTCTTTGTGTCCACTTAGTTGCACATCCTATCAAGATTTCTGCCTCTACTTTCTCACACCTGACTCTACCCCAGACCTCTGCAACATCCTCTGCTTCAGTCTTTGCTCATTACTCCCCTCTCTATAGCTATTTCTGGTTCGTTTTCATAATATAGTTAGTAATAGTCCAACCAGCACTGTCAGAATCCTTTGAAAATTTTGTGTCTCAAGATTTTTCCTAATATTCAAGAGGTTATAAAAACTGTTTGCAAATATCTCTTTATGTTGATATTAATAGCTCTTATATGACTAAGTATGCCTATATGACCATATAGACATTGTTTGCCAAATGTGTTGTATTCTTCTCTTATGTTTCTGTGGCCAAAGTGGTCCCTCTGTGTATGTCTGGTGAAATTGCAACTTTTATTAAAAAAAAAAATTTCAACTCAAATCCTGATTTCCCATAAAACTGAGTCCTCAGACTAGTTGTTCTTTCATGTTTTATTAGCACCTGTGTACGTGTATGTGAGCGTGTGTGCAAGCATGTGTTTCTTCTCCTTCTTTGTTCTTGTGTTTATTTCCTGTTGTAAAATGTGAGCTTTAAAGGCAGAGGCCCCCTTTTCCTCTTCTTGCATTTTCCCAGCATATAAGAGAGCTAGAATATTTCAGATATTCAGCAAAGATGAATTTTTATTTTACTCTGCATAATATGGTTTTGTTTGTTTTTTTTGTTTTTAATTTTAATTTTTGCTTTTTTCTGCTCTTCTTTTTACCTTTATCATCTATTTGGAATATGTTGACTGCTTTATGCCAGGGCCACTAAGATTGGCAAGCCTAAAGCATTAAAACAAAATAAAACAAAAACCAGCCTCTGCTAGACTCCAGTAGCTCATACCTGTAATCCTAACTACTCAGGAGGCTGAGATTAGAGGATCACAGTTGAAAGCCAGCTCCAGCAGGAAAGTCCATGATAGCTTTGTCTCCAATTAACCACCAAAAAGCCAGAAGTGGAATTGTGGCTCAAATGGTAGAGCACTAGCCTTGAGCAAAAACACTTAGGCACAGTGCCCAGGCCCTGAGATCAAGTCCTAGAAATGGCAGGGAAGACAGGAAGGAAGGAAGGAGAGGGGAGAAGGAAGAGAGGGGAGAAGGGAGAGAGAAGGAGGAAAGAAGGGAAGGAAAGAGGAAGAAAGAAAATACTCATTTTGTGTGAACTAAGGAATGGTGGCATCTGGTCCCTTTGTATTTTCCCTTGAGGGTTCTTTTAAGGTTTTATTTAGTTCTTTTCTTTAAATTGCGATTTAAAGCTTAAACATAGTGAGATTGAAAAGTTCTGCTCTGGATTCTTTGATACCCTCTGCTTCTCTGAAGACAAAATGTAGAATTTCTTTCTTTAGAATGACTGTATATAATGAGGAAATGTACTTAATCTTCCTTGATTCAACTGTGTTCAGTTAAATTATATCAAAGCACAGATGTACATGCTATAGTAAAACTAAACTGTTCAAGTCCAACCCTGACTAGAACTTTTCTTTAGTTATCTTTAGTATCTGTATCATATTAGTCTTTATATTTAAATTTAAACTGTTGTTTGTTTGTTTTTCCGGTAGGCTGTCCGGAGTACACATGGCTTAGAGGTTCCATTAAGCCATAAAGGAAATCTGATGGTGACAGAAGAATACATTGAATTCCTATTAAAGATAGCAAATCAAAAAATGGAAGAAAACAAGAAAAGAATTGATAGGTATAACTAACTGAATATTTCTGTTATTCTTTATTTTTTGTACGGTTTTTATTGTAAAAATGCTGTACAGATGGGTTATGGTTACATGAGCAAGCTAATGAGTACATTTCCTATTGAGCATTGTTGCCTCCTCCTTTGTTTATATGTCAGCTTTGAAAATATTAATCCGTACCATTTTTATATTCTCAACTGCTTTTCTACTTGCAGTCTTCTTCTACTTCTGCTTTCCCAGTTTGCAGTGGCTGACAGGTACATGACACTCTGGCCATTGTGCTTTTTCTCTTACTGGGATAAGACACCCCTAACTTGGATGAGATGGAATCAAATTTTTTTTTCTAATTAGTATCATGGTTGAATGTAGAGTCTCCAGTTTACTGAGATACTTGCTCAGCTGATACTTTACCACCTGAGCCATGCCTTCTACCCAGCTTTTTGCTAGTTATTTTGGGGATGGACTCTTACAAGTTTTTCTGCATGAGGTGGCTTTAAACTGTAATCCTCTGGATTTCAGCCTACCCAGTAGCTAAGGTCACAGGCATAAACAGCCAGCATCTGGCTGTTTTGAAAACAAATCTGGGCTGGCCTTGAACTCCTATCACCCTATCTCTGCCTCCAAAGCAGCTAGGGTTACAGGCTTTTGTCATCTCACCTGGCTTAATATCTAGACTTTTTCTTTTTTCTTTTTTTGTGCCAGTCCTGAGGCTTGAGCTTAGACTTAGGGCTCAGGACCTATTCCCTGGCATTTTTGGTTGTTAACTGGGGATGGACTTTCCTGGCTTTGACCCATTATCCTCCTATCTTAACATCCTCAGTAGCTAGGATTACAGACAGGAGCCACTGATGCCTGGCAACATTGAGAACTTTTTTGAAGCAGCAAAGTCTAGAAGTTCCAGTGGTACTAGTATGACATGGTACAAAGAAGTAGAATTAATCTCCAAAGGCAAAAGTGAATTCAGATCATATTCTGCCAAGTTATTCAGTCTGGTTCCACCAGGTTACTCTATGTCTTAATTTTTCTGATTTGAGGGAAATAGCTATTTTTAAGAATAGTACAAAAAGTTTAAAAGATGTCAAGTGATAGCTTTACCCTTTCCTAAGTTGGCCAGTAATCACAATTCTAGATCTAACCCATGAGAAAGGGATAGGTCTTAAACTAGCCAGAGCTTAAAAACATTGACTGACCCTCTTGGTCATTGATGAACTTTCAGAGTAGTGGCCTTTCTGTTTCTTTCACTCAAAGAGAATAAACCTAGAGTCACATCAGTACCATCACATCACTTCCTTATTTGAAGCATAGAATTAACAAAATTAAATGACTGTTTTCTTAGTTCTCCCAGGGAAAGTACATAATAATGTACCATTTTATATACATTGTAGAGAAGTTAATTCGTTACATATAGTGGATGTCTTAGAGCATTTGGGCTTACTTTCCTAGCTGGTTGGTAAAAATGTCCAAAGTACAAAGATTGTAACAAAAGCAATGATTCCAGGTAAGCAACTGAAAAACAACTAGCTATTCACCAACCTACAGATTTGAACATTAGTTATTAACTGACTGATACCATGCCAAAAGTTTAATACATTTATTAGACAGTACTCCAGTGAGACTATTTGCTAAAACATAGAAAGTAGCAAATCAGTTCTTTCTGTTTCCTTACTTGAATTTTAACAAGATTATAAATATAGCCTGAGATCAACTAACTATACACCTGGTGAAGTTAATTGAGCTACATTCACCAACTCTAAAATCAAATTACGTTTTAAATCCATTAACTCAAAAATACGTTTTAAGATTATAGTATGCATACTGCTATCAAGAGAGCTATGCTCATCATATAAAATCAGGGAAAAATTAAAGAAGGGTAAAAAATGTCTTAAGATACTGATTAGACGATTACATGTGAATTCAAAAAATGTGAACAAATTAGGGAGCTGTTTTGGAGGCAGCTGTATATTCAGCCAAGTGCAGAGAAAGCTACAAGCTGCTTTCTGATGCTGAAAGGAGAAAAAATAATAATAAATATGGGAGGTGATGAGTTATGCAATCAGACAGGAAAAACTAAAATTATTCTGTCGTAGAAACCAGTTTCACAATTCAACTGTCTATAGAGAATTTTTCTTTACTCAAAAATCTTCATATAGAACACTTCAGCAAGAAGAAATTGTCTGCAAAAGTAGAAATCAAAATGAAGAGGTGAGGTATTTTTAATAGAACGTCATGTTTGTAAAAACAGTTCCCAAGCCCACTCTGAGTGGGAAGAGACTTCCCCAGCAGCACAGCTGGGTTCCTGTGGTTTCTGGAGCTGGGCAGGACAAGGCCTACGAGGAGCAGCCTGCTTTGTAAACAGTGAATTTGGAGACTGGAAGAGACAGGGATTGACACCAGGCCTAGTAGATGATTTCAGACATAATGATTTCCAGGTGAAAATACAAAGTGTACAGATCTATTTACTAACTACATGAGGAAGGCTTTCTTTGTGTCTATTAATAGGAGGTTAGGATATGGATCCAATGAAACCACCAGTTGTCTAGGAGTAGAATGAAATTAACCATGAATGAATGAGATTAACTCTTTTCATCAGCTATGTAATAAGAAAATGTTAAACAAAACACAGCATAAAAGGGCTGGGTATATTGGCATATAATATTGTTAAGACTAGAATATGAAAGACAAAGTAATTGAATCTATTTCTAGTGAGTTGATATGTCTTAACTCTTTTTTTTAACTGTGATAAAATATGTATAACATGGAATTTCCCAATTTCTCCAATGGCCTTAAGTACATTGACATTGCTGTGTAGCAGTTACCACTATCCATCTCCAGAGTGTTTCCATCATCCTGCACAGAAATTCTGTACCCATTAAACAGTTACTGCCACTCCCCATTCTCCCTGTTCCCAGAGAGCACTACTCCTTTCTGTCTCTGAATTGGACTGCTATAGATTTTTTATAAAAGTAAAATTGTATGTGTCTTCTTGTGTCTGACTTACTTCACTCATTGAAATCATAAAGGTTCCTCTATGCTACAGCATATATCAGTATTTTCTTCTGTTTCCGAAAAGAAAAAAAATGTTTTCCATTTGTAGACCCTTTTTTGTTTATTCATGTGTCCATAGACAGTTGAGTAGTTTCTACCTTTTACTTACTGTGAATAATGCTGCTCTCAACATCAGTTTACAGGTATCTGTCCCTGCTTTCAGTTCTTTTAGATATATATCTAGAAGCAAAATGGATAGGTCACATTGTAATTCTGCATTCAATTTTTGAAGAGCCTCAGTACTATTTTTTCACCGCAGCTATACCATTATATATTATTACCAGGAGTGAGAAACTGCAACAGATCCTTGCCAACACTTGTTATTTTCTAAGCTAGCAGGGGTTGAAGTGCTGTATCAGTATAGTCTTGCTTTTAATTTCTGTAGTGACTAAGTGACGTTTGATGACATTTCATGTGTTTATTGACTATATGTTTTCTTCTTTGGATAAAGATTCTAGTCCTTTACTCATTGTTTATTTTGAATTGTCAACTTTTTTGTTGAGATGCAGGAGTTCTTTATATTCTGGATGTTAATCCCTTATCAATATATTTTTCTTTGTGGATGATATTCCAATTTTGTGGGTCATCTTTTTGTGATACTGTTTTTTCACATATGAAAAATTAAGGTACAGTTCATCTATTTTTTCTTTGTCATATATGTTTTGAGTGTCATACTTAACAAATTATTGCCAAATTTAGTGTAATGAAACTTTTTCCTATACTTTTTTAAAGAGTTTTGACAAAGCCTTACAGATAGGTGAAAACAGTAAATCCTCTTTTGCAACCCAGAACTCATTGTTGAGTGAGATTTTTGATATATGTGAGAAGGAGTATGATTTCCACAGTAGTTGGCAATGTGGGGGTTTTTTAATCCACAGGTTAGCTCTAAGAATAAAGTTACTGTTAAAACTAATAAAATAAAATAATTGTAGTTTCAGTTCTTGCATTTAAATCCTTGAGTTGAGCAATGGGTGATTTTTAATACTGGTATGTAAATGGCTGAATGAGAGACTGGCAAGACCTATTGTTGATAAATCTTTGCTGTGCCACAGCTACAGTTCAAGTTCCATCGGAACTCCCTGTGTGACCTAGTCTAGCTCTGCTTTCAGTCTCTCCGAGGCTAGATAATACTTGGTTCTTGGCAACAGGTGAAAACAAGGGTTGCGGTAATTCTATCATACAAGTGATTGATTAAAGATGAGTAAGTGCTTGTAAAGCACTGCTGGGCATTGGAATCCAGAGAAAAATCTGAAATGAGACCTGCTGGGATAGTGATAGCAGCATAAATTGAGACTCCAGACTGCCTCCTAAGTGACTGTAACTCAACTTGGAAAATGTTAAATACCTAAGAAAGATAGAATACTCTAGGATTTCCAAAGAGGAAACTTATTGTATTCAAAGAATTCTAGAAGTGCTTCAGGGAAGAAGTCAGTGAATGGGGGCTTAAAATTACAGGCAGAATTTTTGTATGAGAGAAAGGGGAAATTTCATGGTAGGCAAAGAAAAGGACAACAAAAGAGAGTGGTAATATGTAAGCCATAATAGAAATTAATGAATAGTTTGCCTGATGCAAATGGCAGAAGAGGAAGAATTCTATTACATCACTTTGCTGCTTTCTTTCCTGATTGTACTGCTCCATTACTTCCATGTTTTTTTATTTTAATATCTTTTCCTCGACCCTTATATCTAGTATGAAATTTGAGGTTGAATACATGTTGTTTAGGGGTGATTGCAATCCACTTGTCAGGATTTTTCTGAACTGAAAACATATTTACTACTTAAGCAATGTCAAAAGCAAAAGGCATATTATTTCTATGACTTCCGTTTTTATTTATAAGACTCATGATAGGACATTGTTGTTTTACATAATCTAGAAGTTCTGGTATATTTCAGTCATTACTTCCAAAGTGCACTGATATTGCAATAATACTTAATTGTTCACAGGTTTTACAACTGCCTACAGCATGCTTTGGAAAAAGAAACAATCACTGATTCACATCCTAAGGTCAAAGAGAAAAACAAGTCATCTTATACTCACAAGAAAAAGAAACCAGAAAAAACACATGGCCAATGTATTCCTGAAGAAAATGATGAAAAAGTTGAAAGTGACAATGATGATGAAGACCCAAAAATCAACTCTACCATCTTCCCTGAAGATTACTAGCATTTACCTTTGAAGTGTTTTGGTAAAATGTTTCCAATAGATTTTATAAAACTGCTCTTTATAAGAGTTTCTTGCATGTATTGTCTATTTAGAAAAACAATATTTCTCTATATTCAGAGAAACCCATTTTGATGTATACATGACTTTTAAAAATAGCTTTGTATATTTATTCAGTATGTTTTAATGTTTGCTCGTTTAATACTCCCTTGTTAAACACAAAGAGAATCTTTGCAAAATTATCACTTTCAGTGCCTCTGTTTTGTTACAACTTCCAGTTCTATGAAATAGGAAAACAAAGTACAACATTCTTTGAAGACAACCTTACATCATGGACATTTCATTAAAAATCATAGTAACATGAAACTAACTTTGAAATATCCTCCAGCTTTTAGAAGAAAGTTTGAATTTACTCCTGTTTCCATGGAGTACAGTGACAAGTTGTTTTCCCCCTTTTGACCTCTTGAATAAACAACTGATACCAATTTTATTCATGACAAAATATCTGAGCCCCTTTTCCTCATTGTTTATTATAAATCAGACCTTAACATTGTACAGACTTTGAAACACATGGGCATAATTTTTCACTAAGGCTGATCAGAAATAACCACTAATACATAAGCATCATACTCAAACAAGTGTGCTATAGAAAAAATTCAAGGATCAGAAGCCTTGAGTGTGAATTGAAGCTTGAGCTTCTAGAGCAAACCATTTACTTTCCAAAGCTTCTGTTTCATGCTCTTCTGCATAAAAGTACTTCTGATAACTGCCTTATTTATATTATAGGAGTATTAACAGTATCAAATTTAAAATATTTGTGAGCAGATCATTGTGCATGTATGTGAGCATTTATCCTTATAAAATGGTTATTTTAAACTTTAGAATGTACCAAATCATAAAAAATATATTTAAGGGGCTGGGAAGGTGACTCCGTGGTAGAGTGCTTGCCTTGCATGCATGAGGCCCTGGTTTGATTCCTCAATACCACATAAGCAGAAAAAGCCAGAAGTGGTGCTGTGGCTCGAGTGGTAGAGCACTCACCTTGAGTTGAAGAGCTGAGGGACAGTGCCCAGGCCCAGAGTTCAGGCCCCACAGCTGACAAAAATGAATAAAAAATAATATATTTTAAAAAATTACCAATTAGTACTAGAACTAATCAATTAGACCCCAGAATGTCAAATAAAAATACAACATAGTAAACATTGAGTTGTGATTTTGACAATTTCCATTTTTTAAATAATTTGTCTAAGCTTTAAGAATTATATTTAGATTTTCCTCTAAATACTTTCCTCCTGACAGCTTTATACTCTTAAGAATTGGTTGGTTTTCTAGACATCTGCTGTTTTCACAGTAAAATTAGCAGAGTGAGTTTTCAGATTTTCTAAATGTAACTGTAAGGTTTTTTTTTTCTTTGTCCTATCATTACTTTGAAGTGCTCTCTTGTTACCCTATAAAATAAAGACACTGACATTTTTTTACCTAATTTCTTTTTGTAGTCCCACAACTTTTGGGGAGTCCTCAAACCCAGTTCTAGTCCCAAGTTTATTCTTGTTTCATTGTTCAAGAAAGAACTTTCTTTGAATGCTCAATCTTGCTACCAAGTATTTGGTTGGTCACTCTTGTGTCCATGAATCTGTCCTCTAAGTGACTTTCCAATTACCATCTTCTAAATCATTTCTTGTTTATGAAATCTCCATTTTTTCACATTTTAGAATCATCCATAAAATCTTAGAAACATACAGAAAGTTACTCTCCAGAGATGGTTAGGAGGCATTGTAGTTTTTTAAAGTTCCCAAGTTGTTCTTATTGTAAATGAGAGGAATATCATAGACTTTCCAAAATTTGTTTTTTCCCTTCATTTTACATTCTCCTCTTTAACTCTGGCATCCCATCCAGTCCAGGAAACTTAACCAATTAGATAGTAATTCTCAATTCTTGTCCTTTCCTGTGTCCTTTGGCTAACTGGTGCACCTCTGCAATAAAGCCATTATTTACAGAAGGTTTTCTTTCTTGGTGGCCTGCTCTCTCAAGAGAGTCTTTGGCAAGAGACAATTGGTTTTTGTTTTGACTTTTTTTTTTTTTTTTTGCCTGAATCCCGTGACATTTTGGAGTTGCTGGCTTTTCCAGTGTCTTGTCTGAAGTAGGTGTAAAAACAACAACAAAACAAAACAAAAACCCAGCTTACTAAACAGTAAAGTCACCACTGTGTTGTGTTGTCATGAAATACCCAGCTGGGCCACTTTCCAGAGTCTACTTATATCTATTTTCTACATAATATCCAGAGGGTTTTCTTTTTATGTTTTTTATTGTAAAAATAGTGTACAGAGGGGTTACAGTTACCTGAGTAAGGTAATGAGTACATTTCCTATGGAGCATTAGAAAAAAATATATACAAGATGCAGAGCACCAACATCAAATACAGTGAAAACGGGTTATACTGTGGGGGAAGAACATACAAGAGAAACAAAAAAATCACTGCACTTAGAAGGAATAGGAAGCCATATTCCTAAACCTTCCCACAATCAGAAAGCTAATGTATTTTATAAATAATGTGTAATATCAAAAGGTTGGGATATTATGGAGAGCATCTTTGTTACTCTATACAGCTTGCCACACATCCCTTATGTATTCATTTATGTTTTTGGTCAGTCGTGGGGCCTGAACTCTGGGCCTGAGCACTGTCCCTCAACTCTACCACTCTAGCCACAGCAACACTTCCAGGTTTTTCTGCTTATGTGGTGCTGAGGAATTGAACCCAGGGCCTCATGCATGCAAGGAAAGCACTCTACCACTGAGCCACCTTCCCAGCCCCATACATCCTTAATTTAATATTGCTTTCTACCTCTCAACCTATGTCCTTTGCTCCCCTTTCTTTGAAATTTTTAGAGTCTTTGTATCCTGAGGAAGAGCCTGTGAATATTTTCAGTTCCCCATACACAAATCTATTGCTTCATATCTAATAAAGACAACTTAAGAGCTTTGAAAAATAGGTAGCTCCATTGTTCAGAAATGGGATAAACTAATCTCCTAGCTGGATTCAGCTCCGATTGTGACTTTGTCTAAAATATTGTGTCTTCCCTACCGTCTTTTGGGAACACTTGCTTAATAAGTCACATGCTAGAAGATTCTAACTTAGAAGTTAGATTATTTTGAACACCTTCTTAAAAAGATGATGGGAGCTGATATAACTCAATGGTAAGCCATTTATCTACTGTATTTTAAGACCCTGGGTTTCATTCTCAACACTGCAAAGAAAAGCGATTCTTGGTTGGGTGTGATTCAAGTTCTTGGGAGGCTGAGACAGGAGGATTATGAGTTGAAAGACTCATAAACCCAGACTACATAGGCAAATGTTATCTCAAGAACCAACAAAAAAGTTATCACATAAGTCTTTTGAAAAAACAATGTAGGTCATGAAGGTGCTGCTTCCTAAAATACTTTAGGTTTTCCAAACCCTAATCTTCAGCCCAGAGTCTAGGAATCCTTATTTTTAAACAGCTCTTCTCAGAATATCCAATAAAATAAACCCAGCACTTAGAGCATCCACTAGCAATAGACTTAATCTAAGGATAACATGCAAATAATAGAAGTTGCAATATATTTGTGGCATAGGCTTTGTGTATACATGTTAGGAGAATAAGCTAAAACTACAATACATTAATTCATTAAATTAATTTGCTGCCCTTACCCTTGGGCTGCACCTGTGTACATTGAACAACTGCTGGAAGGGAAATTCCTTGAGATGACAATGTCACTACCCTTTTTTGAACTTGTGCAGTGGACATTCTTAACCATAAACTTAGACTGTAGTCCTGTCAGGAAGAGAATTTGGGCAGGACAGGAACAGTTTCAGAATGTCTGGGCATTTCTTCTACTGAACCAACAGAATATGCCAAGCAGGTAGAGAAAAAAAGCAAAGAGAAACAAATTTTTAAAAAGAAGCCCTAAAGAAGAGCAGTAGGTCCAGGGCAAGGGATCCTGTCCTAGAATAACTATGTGTTCTGCTATTGTAAAACAGATCTGAGTCAGCATCCATTGGCCTTTCCTCACTTATTTAAATTGCTCCCTAAGAGAATGGCACATACCAAAGATTCCATAACTGAGTATGTAGATGAAACTCTGGAAGAGAGGGGCTCTTTTTCTAGTCCCTTTGTCTAAAAAAATACAATACTCTGCAACTCTTCAGTTAGTAAAGAAGCACTGGCTATAAATCTAAGAAGGCACTGGATCCCATATTTTTTAATATTTTTATTGTGAAAATACTGTACAGAGGGGTTACACTTACATGAGCAAGGTAATGAGTACATTTCTTATCAAGCATTGTTGCCTCCTCCTGTTTCTCCTTCCCATCCCTGCCCTCCGCTCCCCTCCACCTCCCCCCACCCAAAGTTGTAAAGTTCGTTTTCTCAACATAGTGTCATGTACATCTCATTGTTGCAATGGGTCAACCTATATCCCTATTTAAACAATTTGTTTTTTCCATTCTCCTCCCCAAATTATACCAACATCAAATACAGTGAAAACAAGGGTTATACCAAGTGGGGAGGGACATACAAAGCAACAAAAAAAAATCACATGGTACCTTATAAACACATTAGAAATGATAGCAAGAAATAAAAAAACCACTTGTGTCCCTATCTTGGGGTTCATTTCACTTAACATCATCTTATCTGACCTTTTCTGCTTATCCAAGACATATACTAGTTATTGCAAATAAGGGAAACCATGGGACCTGTTTCTTTGAGCCTGACTTAATAGAATTTACTCCAAGTATTTCCATTTCCTAACAAATGGAGCAATGTCATTCTTTCTGATGGAGGCATAGAATTCCATTGTGTATCTATACCACGTTTTCTTGATCCATTCATCTACTGAGGGGCATCTGAGTTAGTTCCATATCTTAGCTATGGTAAATAATGCTGCAATAAACATAGTTGTGCTGGTAGCTTTAGTATGGTCTTGTTTGTGATCATTTGGGTAAATGCCCAAAAGTGGAATTGCTGGGTCATAGGGGAGCTGTGTGGAGTCTTTTGAGGAACCTCCATACTACTATCACTAACCATACAATGGATAAGGGTCTTATATCTAAAATATATCTGGAACTCTAAAAATTACATCCCCCAAAAACCAATCCTCAAAGAAACAACTGCCCAATAAATAAGTGAGCTAAAGACTTAAAGAGAAACTTCTCTGAAGAGGAAAGAAGAAGGGCCAATAGACACATGAAGAAATGTTCAACCTCTCTAGCCATAAAAGAAATGCAAATCAAAACAACATTGAGATACCACCTCATCCCAGTTAGAATGGCTATAATAAAGAACTCTAATAACAACAGATGCTGGAGGGGATGTAGCCAGAAGGGAACCCTACTGCATTGTTGGTGGGAGTATAAACTTGTTCAACCACTTTGGAAAGCAGTATGGAGTTTCCTCAGAAGACTCCACATAGATCTCCCCTACAACCCAGCAATCCCATTTTGGGCATTTACCCAAATGATCACAAACAAGA